GCGACTTCTCCACGGAACAAAATTCCCTTTCAAATCCCAGAAGGCTGTTCGAGTCGAGCATCATTGAGCAACGCCACTCGATCCTCTCGTCTGCAAGTCTATTGACTCGCGCCACTGTCCTAGACGGACTTCGACAGTTCCACCAAAGCTGAAGAATCGGAAAAAAGGACACCGTCCGTCCGCTCGGTCGTGCGCGCGACTCTTCCTCTGTCATGTCAGCGAATATTTCGGCCGATAAAGCGGCCGTTCCGGCGAACTTCCGGCACGGACTTAGAGCTTCGCGAACGAAAGTCAGATACGGTTGTTACGGGACGTACAAATGACGAAATCGAGCTGCTCGATCGGCGACCGGCCCTCCTATCGGCCAACGGCGTGTCCAGTCGATGGCAGATATCGATTGCGCCATGACGTTTATATTAAAACATGTTCGGGGCGACTCGCGAATGAGAAACGAGGGACGGACGGATTTCGACAGGAATCTATTGTGACCGGCTCGCGAACGGGACCGCGTCGAAAAATAGGAAATTTACGGCACGCGCGCGTCTTTTTCGAAACGTTGTCGCAGCACATTTTGACACTCCGGTCGCGAGATTTTCTTGGAGAATCATCTTCTTGTTTTTATCGAGCTCGCCAATGGCTTTAGAATGAAATATAAAGAAATGTATGGATTGTCAGACGTTGATGACTTCGACTACTTAGATTTGTATGCATTCGCGTTGACACTGAACGTTGATTACTGGTATTATATATTTTATTTGATTTTTTTTTTTCAAAATTACTGAGATCGTGATGATTGAATACGTTCAAACACGTTTTATGACACTTTAACTGCCGCGTCACGCAGAAGTCGATCACATAGTTATATATTTAATTTTACGTTATATTTTTTTTTATATTTTCTTTATTACGGGATGTATTGCAATTTATATAAATAATTTATTTATCTTATGAGTTTTATTAGAAGCTTCTTCAATAACTTCTGCAATTATATTAAGTTGTAATTCAAAAGGAAATATTAAGAATCCTACATTTGTTTACTTCAAGATTAACTTCTATATTAATTATTATAAATTATTCATTTGTAAATGTTTTTATTCGAAAAACGAAGTTTCTATTCATATTTAGACTATGACTAAAATTAGGAATGTTCCCTTGAAATTATTGAATAAATTTAACATTAAAAGATATAATTTATATAACAATCACTTACTTATTATATACCTTGCTTATTTGTGTAAAATGTATTCCTTTATAATTATTTTTATATTATTTATAAATCTAAATCGATCTATATATTTAATATTGTTATTAAGGTTAAAAATTATTGACTAAAATTTGGAGATTGAGGTCTATTATGTTTTCCTAATTTTGTTATTATACGCAAGATACAAGAGTGTTGAAAAAGTAATTAATGCCGTGAAACGTAGCTTGTAATTTCAATTTGTTTATACAAAATACTTTAATTTCATCAAGTTCTCGAAGTTGCTGGTGTGTGGCAGTCGAGAAACGATAATATATATAAGATTAAATATGATCTGTGTTGAATACAGCAGGAAGAGATACAATAAAACGTACAATTGTAAGAAGCTTAATATTATTTACGGTTCAATGTTGAAATATCGGAGACGTAAATTGTTATTTGATTTCTTTCTCAACGAATTATTTCCACGAAATTTTATTTTCCACGGAACTCGTGTTTTTGGCTCGTTCGATCGGTATTTCTTTGATGTTAAAATTCGCGGCGATGCCAGAGCGTCGATCCTGAAAACCAAATCCGATCCAAAACCAAATCGGGAATAGCAAAACTGATAGTCATTGTGTAGGGACGCTTAGCAACCGTGCATACATAATGAGGAACGGTGATATGTCCATGAGGACGACGATATACCTTAAGCCGATCCTTTCGGAATCATATCGACGCGACTGGATACCTTCGACATAATCTTCCAGTGATTGCAAATCGTATTGGTCGGTGAACATCGATGAGGGATTAACGTGGCCATACTGACTCAAACACCGGAGACACATACTGAAACCGCCGGGAGATGAGCGGATTCATGATGCGGTTCCAATGGCGGTCGGATCAATTTGTTTTCGCCATAATAGTCCTGCTAACTATTGGGAATGCCGGAGCCGCGCTGCGACCAGAAACGAATTTTTCGAACGGAAATCGAAATTATCCAATTCTAGGTAGACTTTGGACTTTAGACTCTACAAACGAAATCAGTGTTCTTTTCTTTTTTGAAAACTGGAAATTTAATTCTACGAAGAATACCATTATAAATTTATCGTATATCGCAGCAAATATTAGGCACACTGATACAATAAGATATCTCTCTGAAACGTCGCGGGAAATACTTCTCGATCATTCTGATCATTTCGATGATTTGCCTCGGTAGTCAATATCGTCGACTTGCACTATTCGATCCTCCTGTTTACTCCTTTCGCATTGCATAATNTTATATATTTAATTTTACGTTATATTTTTTTTTATATTTTCTTTATTACGGGATGTATTGCAATTTATATAAATAATTTATTTATCTTATGAGTTTTATTAGAAGCTTCTTCAATAACTTCTGCAATTATATTAAGTTGTAATTCAAAAGGAAATATTAAGAATCCTACATTTGTTTACTTCAAGATTAACTTCTATATTAATTATTATAAATTATTCATTTGTAAATGTTTTTATTCGAAAAACGAAGTTTCTATTCATATTTAGACTATGACTAAAATTAGGAATGTTCCCTTGAAATTATTGAATAAATTTAACATTAAAAGATATAATTTATATAACAATCACTTACTTATTATATACCTTGCTTATTTGTGTAAAATGTATTCCTTTATAATTATTTTTATATTATTTATAAATCTAAATCGATCTATATATTTAATATTGTTATTAAGGTTAAAAATTATTGACTAAAATTTGGAGATTGAGGTCTATTATGTTTTCCTAATTTTGTTAATATACGCAAGATACAAGAGTGTTGAAAAAGTAATTAATGCCGTGAAACGTAGCTTGTAATTTCAATTTGTTTATACAAAATACTTTAATTTCATCAAGTTCTCGAAGTTGCTGGTGTGTGGCAGTCGAGAAACGATAATATATATAAGATTAAATATGATCTGTGTTGAATACAGCAGGAAGAGATACAATAAAACGTACAATTGTAAGAAGCTTAATATTATTTACGGTTCAATGTTGAAATATCGGAGACGTAAATTGTTATTTGATTTCTTTCTCAACGAATTATTTCCACGAAATTTTATTTTCCACGGAACTCGTGTTTTTGGCTCGTTCGATCGGTATTTCTTTGATGTTAAAATTCGCGGCGATGCCAGAGCGTCGATCCTGAAAACCAAATCCGATCCAAAACCAAATCGGGAATAGCAAAACTGATAGTCATTGTGTAGGGACGCTTAGCAACCGTGCATACATAATGAGGAACGGTGATATGTCCATGAGGACGACGATATACCTTAAGCCGATCCTTTCGGAATCATATCGACGCGACTGGATACCTTCGACATAATCTTCCAGTGATTGCAAATCGTATTGGTCGGTGAACATCGATGAGGGATTAACGTGGCCATACTGACTCAAACACCGGAGACACATACTGAAACCGCCGGGAGATGAGCGGATTCATGATGCGGTTCCAATGGCGGTCGGATCAATTTGTTTTCGCCATAATAGTCCTGCTAACTATTGGGAATGCCGGAGCCGCGCTGCGACCAGAAACGAATTTTTCGAACGGAAATCGAAATTATCCAATTCTAGGTAGACTTTGGACTTTAGACTCTACAAACGAAATCAGTGTTCTTTTCTTTTTTGAAAACTGGAAATTTAATTCTACGAAGAATACCATTATAAATTTATCGTATATCGCAGCAAATATTAGGCACACTGATACAATAAGATATCTCTCTGAAACGTCGCGGGAAATACTTCTCGATCATTCTGATCATTTCGATGATTTGCCTCGGTAGTCAATATCGTCGACTTGCACTATTCGATCCTCCTGTTTACTCCTTTCGCATTGCATAATCAATTCGTTTTAATACTCTCGATTCATTTTTAATATTCTCACGTCCCCCTGGAATAATCTCGATTGAATTCGGATCTCGATTATCGTTGACCAATGCTGCTTAATCTTTTCAGTTTTCCGCTTCCGGAATATTTTTGAGATGCGACAGTTTTTAACGACACATCATTCCTGTTGGCTACGTCGTTGATCAGAATTGTCATCACCGTTGTCCATAGGCACCGTAGAAAATTCGTCTGAATAGTGCAGATCAATATCGAGATAAATTTTAGGTGAACGTTCAATTTAGGAATAAAGTTTATTCTTTCTTTGCGTAGGATAAGGATCTGTAATATAGGTTTCCATTTGAAGAAACGAAGTGTTACCCTCCAAATAATCCACACAGCGATCAACAACAAAACAGTTAACAAGACACTTTTGTATTTCTCCGTTGAAATCGAGTCTGCACGGTCGTGTACATACTTCGAATCCAATCGTCTCAAAAAACGAAGATCCATATCGAAAAATCCTATTATCGTTTCTTGTTATCAGCTATTCGCCGTACCTTTAACCGACATTCGTTTCAAGCGCGCATTCCACGATCGTAGTCAATTCCCGTTTTCAGTCCCCTTCAAAGCCCACGAGACTGAAAAGAAAAAAACAAAACCGACTCTCCCTGACAGTATCCGAGAAAGACAGCAGAAAACCATAACGGCAGAAGCTTTGAGTCCGCGCGAGACGCCAAAGTACGTCCACCGATCGGGCGAGCTCGAAACTCCGCTATACCCTTTTGACCCTAGCCGATCACCAACAAACCCAAAGACCCTCCAAAAACCAAAAACCAGAGAAAGAAAAGAAAAAAAAGAAAGAAACAAAAAAAAAGCAAGCGCGCGCGTCCCATAAAAAAGACCCTCGAAAGTAGCAGTAGCAGAAGCCTGAGGCTGGTGTGTTGTGCCGGTGTGGTAGCAGGTGAGAGGCTGGCGCAACCTCCGCCCCCGGAGAATTGCACGATCAGGGAAGAGAGTCGGACAACGGTCAGGGTGAGCTGCGCCGAGAGCGAGTACATCGACCCGCGCACCGCCACCTATGTGCTGCAGGTCTTCGACGCCGACACCAGGCGCCTGCTGGCGTCCACCACCAGCATGACGCCTAGCATGCTCGAGATCACCGATCTGCCCGCGGAGAGGAGTTACTCGGGCCTGGTGCTATCCCTGAGGATCATGACCGAGCACGCGATGAGCGACGCCACCGTTCTTCACAGCCCGCACTTTGTTCAGGAGGGTAAGACACCGGAGCATCAACGATACCCAGGTAGGGGCCAGCTAGTGTTCGATTTCGAGTCATCGTGCGCCATCGCGGACCATCCACTATCACCGCCATCGCCATCACGAACCCGACCCTACCCAACCCACCCGCCGGTACACCCGCCATTGTCTCCCGATGTCTATTGTTCGTTTCACGTCGGTTCACGTCGATCCGCGTGGACGTCTGTTTGCTCGTTACTCGCGGCCGCTCGACAGCCTGGCTTTCATACACCACGGATCTCTGTGTACCGGGTGTTTGGCACCTTCTTCGGGTCGCGGACGCGGAATCCCGATGCCAGGACCGGAAAGAAATCGAGTCGGCTCGAAACCCCGGTTGAAATCGGTTCTCGAAAGTATAGCTCGTTGGTTGAGATCTTCTCATTTCTCTGAACTGTTTGTATAAAACGATGCGAAGTGCCAAAAATGCGATCCTCTAGGAGAAAGAGAAAACAGTCGGCAAACATCTTCAAGCTGTTATCTCTTTGCGCTCGACAAGTGACTCTCTGAGGCGTCGCTAAAAATTGTTTCATCGCGCGCCGAAATAATATGTATCGGTCGTACGCATAAAATGCTCTAACAGAGTCGTATAAAATGGAACTGTTGTACACCGGAAACGCTATTTTGGATTTAGCGTTAACGTGTCTTCGAGTGCGAAGGGTTGACGAGGCTTGATTTATTTGTATCTTTACGTGTGGCTAAGACCGCACAACTACGAAGTATTTATTACGTTAAATCTCTACACTCGAAGCCATTTTTATTCTAAATCCAAGATAGTGTTTTCTGACTTATACTGTTTCCATTTTACATGCGTTAGCGCGGTTTATGGATACAAAATCGAGTCTTGCAACTCGTACAACAGTTACCTTTTTAATAGTCTCTTAAATATAAAAAAAAAACATGATAATGTACAAATTATTTTGCAACATGATGTAACAATTTTTAGAAATGCCTTAGAATCGGCACTCAAGTTCAAAGGGTCGATGATACATAAATCGATGAAGAAAAGAATTGATTTTTAGAAGAAAGTACTGAAAGTACCGATTCTTTTTAAATATTTTAACGAACCTAGCCCGACCCGACCCGATTCGACGTTGTTAGATTCTCTGGATAATTTTGAAACAATATTTCAAAGCCAATGGCTTGGCTTCTGGTGATTAATTTGTATTGGGAATTGTTTAATTGGGATAATTAACCCCTTGCCATGTGACGTCTTTCACTACCATGCTAATTGGAACACGGCTGTCGATGACAGATTCGATGCCACATAATTTTCGAGCATTTCGTATGAATAGCATTGATTTTGTTCACTGTAGAATGTAGAATTTAATGTTATCAGTAAACCGGATTTTTGTGCATTTAAGTAAAAAATTAGTAGATCAATGGCGAAATATCACAAAAACTTAAGCGACTTAATAATATTTTCGTATCACTGTCAGCTCATTCAGATTGTTAAGAAATAAAAAGTATGTCCATATAGTTCCCGTATATTGCAATCGATGAGAATTTTTATTTTGCACAGAAAACTGCAGTATAGTTATTAGTAAGCATTATTGGTCTCTTAATAAAGAAATTTGTGTTCGATAATCTTGTAATGAATATTTACAAGTATTTAACATTCACTCTAATTGCTAAATATTTATATTATATTTACCCATATCTAAATTACATTATTAGGCAAGAGGTTAAAAATATGTAGAAAATGTTAATGAAACATTAGAGGCAAGCAACGAAATAGCAAATCGTCTTGTTACAGACTTAATTCTAGGGCTACAAGCGATAAAACAGTCTTACAAACGAAAAAACGCTTACGATCGTGATAAAACAATTAAGAACAAAGGAATATTGAATTAATTACCAGAAGAGCGAGGACGCCTTTAACCTCGCGGTCGCAATAGACCAAAACATCGCTGTACACAAGCGTCGAGGGTCGATCCTTTCAATTCTAATATCCTTTTGGAAGAATTATCAGCTAATTAAAATGTTTAATGAGAATCTTTGATCCTGTCGTTGCGTTAAGAAGTTGCTGCCTCGTGCACTGAAATCCCAAGGGAGAGTTTTGGTCGCGAGATTGCACTTTGCAGCGAGCCGAGCGCAACATCTGCTACTGCTTGGTATTATGCAAATTATGGTCTTTTTATTCGAGTTATTTCAAATTAACATATCGGCCACCGCTACTCGCCTTTGGATAACAGTTTTCGCGGTTCAAGTATTTCGTTAAATGCGATCCACTCGCGAAATACGAGTAGATTCTTCGAATATCCTTATTATAATCTTTGAATTAGTTTTTTGATCAATGTATGTAATGTAAATTTACGTCTTTAAATAATGTAGAATTACGTTTCGCGAACTTACGTTCAATTTTGCCAATTTCCTTTGGGAAACCGGTTGTAGTCCTTAGCAACGAAAGGGTTAAAAGTGAAGCACCGTAAAGGGTATTAGTATCAATCGACCCTTTGACCAAGACATCTGCAACGTAATGCGATACCGTAAGATAATTATCTGACAAAGACGTGACTCGCAGCTAAAGGAGTCAAAGAAGTCGCCTGTAAAAGCCTCAAATCTTTGATGAAATAGTTAATGCATTTTTACTGCAACTTTCAATAATGTCGTGATTCCATTTTCCCTTCTTTTACTTTCTAATTTCTCGAATTTATTTATTTATTTATCGAACATCAACGGGCCAAGCGACCTTTTAATTTGTCTTCAGAAATTCAACATAATGATAATAATATTAATAATAATAACAGTAGCGATCACAAAATAACAATCAAAATGAATGAAAATCAAAACAAATATGATTAGAAAATACAAAACGAGCATAAACTGTGCATTCTAGCTTCTCTGATAACATTATATAGATGATATTTAAATTGATTAAAACCATCAATGAAGAAGTCAATTTCGTTAGTACGAGTCTTAGTCAGAATGAGAATGCTATTCAAAGGACCACTATAAGAGAAATCCCGTGGAAAATATAATTGAGTTGTTGCAAAAGTAATTTCGACTTTCCAAATAGATAGCCAAATAGTTCGTGCAACTTCTAAAATCGACTGTCGAATTGAAAAATCGAATTTATAATCGAGTAGCGAGCAAACCAACCGCGTGCGATCGACGTCGCGGAAACAGATGCAGGAAAATTCATTGAAATTCGATCTTCTAAACTGAGCACCTTCTCCAATTGTACCTTGTATTCGGTATGAAATTCGAATTATCGACGAATCTTAACGAACGAACAACAGAAACCTCTCCCCAGAAACGAGTGGAAGGTAACAATTTGCGTGTACTAGCACCATCTTGAGGACCAGTGAAATCGGTCGTTAGAGTATACACAATACGTGTTATTCTGGCTCTGGAATTCTAACGCGATAGATTCACGGTAGATACGGCTCACTCCAGGATATTAAATCTGGTTGAAAATTGCGCATAGAAATGAATTCGATTTCGAGATAGCTATTCCGGCCGAACTAATCGCAAATTGAAGTCCGATCGAAATTGCGTACAAATTGATGAAACCTGACAGTTTCCCCCCGCGATCTGGCATTTTTCGGTCTTCTAATAGTCGCAGTCCTGATTTCTACAATTGGATCTACCATCTACGATCCAACCATGAACAGCAGTTCAGAATTATTTTCAACCCTATGGGTCGATGCATTTGTATGCGAACAGCGTTGAGTAAATGTTATTCGGAATAACGAATAAAATAATAACGAACAAGCTTAATTATTTGTTATACGCGAATAACGTTAATTAAGTCATTCGTCATTCATCATTCGTCATTCGCGAATAAGAAATAAAATTAAGTCATTCGTCATTCATGAGTAAGAGATAAATTTAAGTCGTTCGTAATTCATGAATAAGAAATAAATTCAATCCACTCGTTATTGAAAATATTCGAACAAAATGATAATGAGCATATTTTTAAGAATATAGATTATTAATCATTTTAAACACTTTTTGAATATATTATACGTTTATTAAATGTTTTCTGGGATAGACATCATTTTCGAGATATTTTCGTTTCCCTCACAAAATAAAGTTTTCTGATTATACTGTGTGCCGTGTATTCTCGCTTTATAATCTTATTCTTCAATAGCATCTAGCCCATGTCGTCTCTTGGGATGAAACTTGAAATTAGAACTGGAATTTCGATAACCTTTAATATAAACTTCTTCTGTTCCTAACAAGACTTTTTTGTTTCTCACATTTTTTACATAACGCAGTAACTTTCTTCTTGCAAATAGAAACATTCGTATTTAACATACAATATCAAAAAAGTGACCATCCGATTGAATTAAATTGCATGTATTAATTTATATTTTATAAATATAATAATATTATAAATATAATAGCAATTTATGGATTGCTATTATCACAACTACAGTCAGATATCTCGTTACTTTACACACTAAGCCAACACAGAAACAGAAACGCTCTTGTTTTTATTTTATTATTGCAATATTACATTTTCATGTTTTTTGACATTATATTTATATTATTAACGTTATATTTATTTATTTAACATTACATTTATTTTTTTAACATTACATTTATTACTTGAACATTACGATACCTTTATTCGGGGATGATAAAATTGACCAAAATGCTGCTACCGTCGTTTATGAACACTGAAAGTAAAAGTGTCCAGGCATTTAAAAACACGCGTCGTTGCATTGTTAAAGTGCACAAATCTTCCGTGAATTTTTAAATTCGATTTTCTCGTAAACGGATCCCTTCGACATGTTTTCGCATATAGATTTCCTAATCCGAAGATAACGATGTATTCTCGAAAAATTCTTCATCAACAACTTCCAGCAGAAACCCGTCGATCGAGACCGCTGAAGGCTTAATCTTCGTCCGCGGCAGAATTTTCGCGTGGACACGGTTGAAATCTGCGGGCTGTTTACATTATGCAAATCAAGATCCGATCTTGAATTAGCCAATGCGCTATCGGGATGTCAAATTACACTGTCAAACCGTGCGGCGATACCTGAATCCGGAATTCACGAT